ACAATCTCGCCGTCAGTCCTATCAAGTGCCTTGTAAACCACTCCAAAACTACCACCTGCAAACGAAGGACACCGTTAGCCGACGGAAATGCAACAACAAAAAGTAAAAATAAACAGAACTTTGGTCAACTCACTCCCTAGCTCCTCCATCACCTGGTAATGACTTGCCATATCGTCCATTGTGCAATAACTCAGCCCAGGTAGCTATTCCGGTCAGACAGGGAATGTCGACAGGGCTCATCCAAGTAATGAATGAATAGCTTGGGGCTTGGGAGAGGTCAAGACGAGAGTAAAGAGGCCATCGGGGATGGCGGGCAAGGGGTGGAGCAAGGATCCACAAACAAGCTCCGTCTCACATGGCAACCGATGGCCTCAGGCATGAACTGGGGTATATCTGCAAGGGGCCCACTCAGCTGATCGCATTTATCCCGAATATAGCCTGGAAGGATTATCATTTACTTCTTTTACTTGGAGCTTGTGCATTGTGCAGGCTCATACATAATGTGATTCCAAGGCTATTACTTGCTATATCGGTAAACGGCTTTTATTATGCTCCAACAATCCCTATGCATTGCAACTCGCTCTAAATATACTTGTATGGGTTCATGATTCCATTCTAAAAGTTAAAATTAGCAATTGAGAACACATCAAATCGACACTCCACTTACCGGGTCATAGAGGTCCTTTAGCTGCTTCATCAACTTCACCATTGTCTCGTTCTGGCTGTAACCGATGAACTCGCGCTTAGCAACGCCAAGTCCGTGCTCAGCACTGATGCTGCCCTGGCGCTTCTGAATCCACTCATACACCCAGGGCTCGATCGCCTTCTCCACTTCCTTGCTGTACTGTCGCACGGCAACGTTCAAGTGCAGGTTGGAGTCACCCATGTGACCGTAACCAATGACAGCACGAACCGGGAAAGAGTCATCGTCACCGACCAGACCCTTCTCCGTGAGGCGGGCCTTGCAGTCCTCCACAAGTAGGTACAGATCTGACAGTGGGATCGACACATCGTACTTGTAGGTGCCACCCAAGTGGCTCAGGGACTCGGTAATACCCTCACGCCAGCGCCACAGTGCCTGGAATTGGGTCTCATCCTGGGCCAGTACACCGTCGGCGACAATGCCGTCGCCCATGACGCTCTCCAAGAAGGACTCCAGCTTGGCCATGTCGTGCTCGGCGTTGGAACCGCTGGTCTCCACCAGACAGTAGAAAGGATACTCACCCTCAAGAGGATGTTTGTTACCCGTAGATTCGATGACCAATTTCTGGCTGCGACCGTCCATCAGCTCGAATGCGGAGAGAATCTCCGAGAGCTGGCCTTTGGCAGCGAGGTAAGCCTGCTGAACCTGCTCGAAGCTCTCAAGACCGAAATAAGCCACATTAACTGCCTTGGGGCGCGGGGGGCACTGAATAGAGACAGCAGTCACGAGGCCGATGGTGCCCTCAGAGCCAATGAACAGCTGCTTGATATCGTAGCCAGTGTTGTTCTTGCGTAGAGTTGACAGCGCATCCACGATAGTCCCGTCCGGCAGGACCGCCTCGAGGCCAAGCACGCTGCCGTGTAGACTGCCGTAGCGGAGGAGACGCAGGCCACCAGCATTGGTGGAGACATTTCCACCGATGTGGCAAGATCCCTTGGCGCCCAGGTCCAGAGGGAAGAGGTGCTCCCGCTCGGCAAGATATTGGTCAGCTGTCTCAAGGATAACACCGGCATCAGCAACCAACACACCGGAGGCAGCATCGAAAGAGCGGATCTGATTCATGCGCGAAGTGTTGATGACTATCTCATCGAAGACCGGCACTGAGCCACCAACGAGACCGGTGTTTCCACCCTGCGGCACTACGGCCAATTTGCGCTCATTGCAGTATTTCAGCACTTGACTGACCTCCTGTGCATTCTGAGGCTTCAGAACAAGCCGGGTGTGGCCGCGGTATTTGCGCATCCAGTCGCTGTTGAAGGGTTCGATATCGTCCGTCGCGTCGGTAGTCACGCCATCGATCACGGCAGATTGGGAGCCCAGAAGCTCCTTGAAGTGTGCGACATCTTCAGCAGAGATTTCGGCGAAGTTCGGGTTGCGCTTGAGGTTGGGGTAGGCGTCGCTGGTGAACTTGATCTGACGGGGATCGGAGTTGCGAGTGGAGCTGGCGCTGAAGGCGCGCACAGTCAAGGGAGTGATGGATTGAACGGTGCGAATGGCAAACCGAGGACGAGGCACTCGGGCGCGCCGCAAAGCAGCTGTGATATTCCTGGTACCTGACATGGCTGTTTACAACACAAGAACAATTTTTAGTCTGTCAAGTGGAGATGCTCCGATACTCCGATCTGCCTCCGAGAGCTCCCAGGTCCTTGCCGATTTTGATTCGACCTCGGGGATTTTCGGCCTTTTATCTTCAATGCTTATACTGTCTTTCAATCTTTTACACTGTTGGATATTATTTGGTGAGAGGGCTCAAATTGGTCTTATTATGCTAACATAGTTAATATGCATAAATTTAGCGTGAGGATCAACGCAAGATATATATACATACCTTTTGTAATACCTTTGGTATCTCATTACACCCTTCGACCTTCGAGTGCGCGCTGGTCATGACATCATCACGCGTATCTTATCACGCCATGTTGAGAACATATAGAATTGAGAGCATTCGATAGAATGGATTGGATTCATATGGGTCTAATCGTCTAGGTAGGTGGGCTAACTATGTCTTCACGGCTATATCCACAGTTCCGGTGATGGGAGAAGTCAGCTACGTCACAGGTGGCCCCGCGTCAGGGAAAAAAAAAAGAAGAGCATCCCACCATCTTTCTCATCTTACCCATACCTGTATCGAAAATGACATCTACAGTTCTTGTTACTGGAGCCAGTGGCCTCCTTGGCCGTGCTGTGTTCAACACTTTCCAGCACTCGGGCGTCTTGGTTGTTGGCCAGGGATTCTCCCGCACGGCCCCGCCTACTATCTTGAAAGCCGACTTGGAGAAGGAGGAAGACATTCGGATGCTCTTCGATGAAGTCAAGTACGTATTTCCATTGAGATCTTGAGCATAGACATTAATTAGCTTTGAAATATTACCAGGCCTCAAATTGTCATCCATTGTAAGCCAATTAGCCGACTCGCTCATCCCGAGATCATAGACTGACAGCTCACAGGTGCTGCAAACAAGTCCCCGGACATCTGTGATAAACACCCCGATCAAGCTCGCAAGGTGAATGTCGACGCCACTCGCACATTGGCCAAAGAATGCCAAACTCGCGGCGCCTTCCTCATCTACATCTCCACCGACTATGTCTTCCCCGGCACCGAAGGCGACGCTCCTTACGAGGCCGATGCTGAAACTAAACCACCGAACCTGTACGGTCAGCTCAAGCGTGATGGCGAGGTGGCCGTACTAGAAGCAATCAAGGAGTCAGGTATGGGTGTAGTGCTGCGCGTGCCGGTGCTGTACGGCAATGCCAAGGAGAACTCGGAGAGCGCGATCAACACGCTCGTTGACGCGGTCCAGAAGGCAACAGATGAAAACGCTGGTGTGAAGATGGATGACTGGGCCATAAGGTATCCAACCAACACTGAAGATGTTGCGCGCGTGTGTCGGGACATTGTCATTAAGTACCTGCGCGAGAAAGAGAAGCGCAAGGACTTCCCTCATATCCTGCAATTCTCGTCTGAGGATCGGATGACCAAGTATGAGATCTGCCAGAAGTTGGCTCAGGTGCTGGGTGTTGCCACTCCCGGAATGATCCCTAATAAGCAGGGCAATGATCCCAATGGGGGTGTCGTGCGGCCTTACGACACACATCTCTCCACTAAGGCGCTGACTGAGCTTGGTATTGATGTGCGGACAGTGGACTTCATCGCGTGGTGGTAAGTTTTCGTCATGTGGTGTACTATATACACTATATACCTTGCTTTTAGTGTCCATGCTAACAAATTGCAGGCGCCGGGAATTGGGTGCTTATAGGAAATAGGCCTGATCTAAACCGAATGAAGTTGTAAGAACAATTCAATTCAAATATAGAAGGGCCAAGGTTCAATTGAAACCCAGAGAGGAGTTTAAAAGCCCATCAAGGAGATCAGTTAGCCCCAGTCAGTAGTCGCCTTGGCACTATCACCCCACAGAACTTCAAGTTGTATCTTCTGTGTACTGAACATCATTCGAACATCATTCGATCAAGATTCACAAGTGGAGCTTCATGATATCCCTATTTGTGAAGAATAGCACAGTTGGAGTGAGACACTTGGATTTGATCGCCCTGTGGACCCGTTGAGACCATCCAATAATAATCTCACCTTTTTGCATCGAACAATCTAACAGTGGCAATAAGGCCAATAGTACCTGTCGATCATATACATACTCCATCAGGTCAACTGTACTCCGTACATACCCAAGTAAATATAGCCCCAGCGTCAGTCGCGTGAAACCGCATGCGGCGCGTCGGACCGGGAAATATTTAGCCCCAATTTACCTGCTGGGGCACGGGAAATTGCGTTTCATCTTTTTTCCCTCAGGTTTATTATGCCAAGTGCATTCGGTGAGTTCAATTTATATATATGATCCATCCAATGGTCAATTCACCAAAAGCAAATCTTATAGCCTAGGCCGGCCCAATTGATGATCGGTGCGGGTCAGTTTGAACGAGGTGCGAATGGTCGATTGAGAATAGGCCTGTTTGATTGTGAGAGGATTCTATTTTGTTCAATCCTACGGCCACTCTTTTTTTTCTCCCACATTTGTGTGTCTTCTAGCTGTGCTTCCTCTGTCTAGAGGCTTAGGTGCAGAGTCGCACTGGTTGATCAGAAGGAAATTACGGGAAATTGCCGTTTGGTGTCAAGGCGACGCTAACCCTATGCGATAGAATTCGAGACAGATTACGAAACTCTCCCAACTCAGACCCCCCCGCCCCCGGGGCGAATCTCAAGTGAAAAGTCTCTAGCATGAGTGAGAACAGTGTGACAGCCGCGGCGCAGCCTGTACCTCCAAAGCTCTCTCGATATCGTAGCATGCGAGGGACAACCGGAGACGTCGAAATGGCCACACCACCTACGCTTGTGAACAGTATTGGCCAGCAGAATCTCTCGATCGCGAGAAGCAGATCTCGATATCGTCGCAATCGGCCAGCATCAAATGAAAATCTCGTACCTCCTACTCCCGCGATCCCGGGTCACGCGCGACCTCGGCTGGAGGTGCGGCGGAATGAACCACGAGAACGTGAACGGCCCGCAACCAGTCATTCTGGGACCACACAAAATGAGGAGGAAGCGCATACGCGCGAGGTGGATCGACAAGGTGCGATGGAAAAATTGACTGGAGGAGAGAACTCAGCACAAGACATTCGGCGGCCTCAAGTGTCTGTCCTGTCAAAGCAAGTCGTGCAACAGCCCCGATCGCAACCTGTGCTGGCGCATCCCCCACGCAGTAACAACTCAGGAAACGATGGTAATCGCAAGTCTTTCTTTCAGATGGTCAAACTTTCAAGGTCCACCAAGAAAATGGGGCCCCTTCCGAACTACATTGGAGTGGGTGGAACCGGAGTGGTCCCAGGAGTTGACGCTCCTGTCAGCGCTGTTAACGCTGGAAAGCGAAATGCCCTGGTCAAATATGGAGATACCTCCGCGAATCTCACTGTCAACCCGTCAACGCAAGTCCGGGACATACTGCTAGATGCCACCAAGCACTTATCTCGGGACATTGATGCGGATAGATTCATTCTCATGGAGTCTTACTCTCAAGTTGGCCTAGAACGTCCTCTGCGACGCTATGAGCATGTTCGGGAAATCATGAACTCCTGGTCACACGATGCAGACAATCAGTTCATCGTGATTCCCCCCTCTAGTGTGGATGCTTTAACTCAGCTCGATGCTGGGCATGCTCCCAGCGAGCAACCACCCCCAGTGACTGTCCATATTTACCATTCCCAGCGCCGTCGCAAATGGGATAAGCGATATGTCACCTTGCGTGCTGACGGACAAGTGACAATCTCAAGAAAAGAGAGCGCCAAGGAACAGACCAATATCTGCTATTTATCCGATTATGACATCTATTTCCCTAGCGCTCGAGCGCTTAACAAGGATATCAAGCCGCCAAAGAAGCTGTGCTTCGCAATCAAGAGCCAGCAGAAATCATCCATGTTTCTGTCCACCGAAAACTACTTGCACTTTTTTTCAACCAGCGATAAGTCTGTTGCAGATAAATGGTACCGGGCAGTACAGAAGTGGAGAAGTTGGTATCTTGTCAACAAAAAAGGAGCAGGCCAAACACCAGAGACCGAGACGCTCGTGAAGCGCGCTGGGACGAAGAAATCGTCTCATCAACCGAGAAACGTGCACAACGACGTGCCACTCCTAGAACGGGAGACTTCGACCGAGTCTTCAAATCGTGAAAGCTCTGACCAACGGAGGCCGACAAGCTCCAAAGACGTCTTTTCCCGGCAGAAACCCCTTCGTGAACACGTCCCCCCACCATCGTCATATCCCCACACCTTGACAATCGATACTGATACCGAAGGGCCTTTCGCCGACACCCAGGCATTGCTCTCGGGCCTTTCGCCCCAGGAAGTGGAAACCTCTACGTTTGCACCATCCGGACTCCTAGGCCGAACTTACACCCAGCGACAAAATGCTATGCGGGAACGGGAGGATCGCGATAAGAAAGCCAAACAGGAGGCCTTTTCAGGCACTGGCTTTATGAGTGGAGACTCTATACAGACCCCCGGCCAGGACTCAAATCCCAACAGCCGGACCAACACAATGACTCGTGCCCCAGACGCATCGGCTTTCACTCAAACTCCGTCTCTTAAACAGAAACCTCTGGTTGACCTCACCCCAGTCTATGCCGAGCCACCACAGCATAGCCGCAAGGGCAAGGGTCGCGGCGTCCAAGTCCAACCCGGTATGCAACTGATTGACGGAGCCACTGGTCCAGATCAGACCTCGGGAGGATTCTCCATCCCACCTGCGACTTCCTGGCGCCGACCGGCCGCAGACACCACACCTCAGCGGCGAAACACCACCCGCAGCGTGGGCCATCATTCAAACAAATACGCGACCCTGGCTTCTGCTGAAGCAAGCTCGGCGATTTCTGCCGGCAAGTTCACTGCAAACAGCCTGCTGGCACACTCGGCCAGCACTTCTAGTCATCGGAATCCGCGCACCGGACATGGTGTCGCAACGGGTGACCGTAATGCCACACGGCCGTTGCTGGATATGTCTCCGGAGAACCCCTTCGCAGATGGTAGTCTACTCCGGCAGCTCTAATTGCGTTTCTCTTTTCTTCCCTTTCTTCCCTTTCTTCCGTTTTGTGATAATATTGCTATCTCGCGGGGTTCTGTTTTGGTATACCTATTGTTTATTTACTTGGACCACTGGCTCCTTATCCTACGGCACTGCAAGGTGGAGCCCACTTTCATCGGTGTTGATGCATTGTGTGTCTTTTAATCTGGAGATGAATTATTGATAGCCGGCTGTGCTTGACGGACGATTCCTCTTTGTTAGAGATACCCATTCTGTGTTTATTTAGCAAAGAAGTGACACTGAATATCCGTCCTTGACATTAATTTTGACCTTTTCTATCAAGTCATTTCCCACTGCACTCCAAGGCTTTCCGAATACCCACTCGTGATTTTTTTTTTTCGATTTGAAGTCTGTAAATAGGGGTCACCACACCACCTAACTTGCTCTGACATGGCCGCGCCAAAACCCATCCCATTGACCCGCTTCTTCCAACGCATAAGAACACCATTGGACTGATCAACTCACTCGAAGACCATTCTAACTTTATTCCTCGCCATCCAATTTTTCACTAAGATGAATCCAGATTCTCGTAGCCAACCGCGCGAGGAGCAATCGCCAGGCAGTCTGAATTGCAACAGGGGGAGGATACGTGCCTTGATCCAGACCAGTGATGGAGAGAGACACTATTTCTCCGGCACTGTGAGCACTGATCTATGTCTTATGGTCAACAATGCTCAGCCTGCCCCATCACCAGCTCCACTTGAGTATCTCTAGCGTTTCTCCATATTCCTAATGAATAGCACTGCACTACTCAGATTCAAGATCTAGAATTAACGAAGAATAGGGCATCGTTTATCTATTCACAAGCCACCAAGAATAACCAACTCCATAGTGTGAGCAACGTCTATATCGACTTCCCCCGGTATATCCCAACACCGAACTTCCTCAGCGAAGGCGCATCAAGCAAAGACAAAAAAAAAAAAAAAAAAAAAACCAAGCCGTCCTCTTGCCTCAGATCAATCCAATCATATCACGTAGCAAATAGCACAAAAGGTACCAAAACGAATCTCTAGCCTTCAACCACCTCTTCAAGCTCAAGGAGCACGATAAACCTTGAAAGTCTTGAACTCCCAATAGGCATCAACAAAACTGCCAGGGCGGTTAGCAACAAAGCCCGAACAAGTCGCTGGACAATGATACAAAGTTTCATAAAACTGCTTCTGACCAGCAAGTTCACCACAGAGATCAATATTGACAATGATACTCAGATTCCTGAAATGTGACGCAATATCACAGTTGGTGCTAGGGAAATCCGCCAGCGCCATACCCCAGGTACTCGGATCAGGATTCCCCGCCGTGATATCAGCAGGGATCGATGCCCTCGGGAAGAACCAGGCCCTAATACCGGCGTCACGGAGTTCAAGCGCATAAACACCGCCCCCACGGTTATTCATTGCCTCTCCATAACTAGTCTCATCGCCGATGACCCCACAGCCGGAATTCCCATCTGTGGCATGGTCACAATTTTTAAAGATAGCCTGACCAGTCTGTTTGCGCTTGACGTCCATCTGACACCCCTTGGTAGTATGGATTGTGATCTCATTCCCATGGCTTCCAACATTTGTAGTTTCAAGAACATCGATCTCGCCATTCATCGGCCAGTTATAGCCATCAGTTAGCCACAGCGCAGGCCAGGTCGCACAACCGAAGGGGGTATGAACGATGTCGAAGACGAAGAGGCCTGCATCGTATGTATTTCTCGACTCGACGCGGACAGAGTTCCGACCAGAGCGGGCGTTTGGCGTTGATGCATCGACGCGCAGAATGGCTGATGTTTCGGATGCATATGTGAGGTTGAGGTGTCTGGCAGTTGATTTGTTGACGTAGACAACAAAGCCCATTGTCGGGTCCTCGTCTGTGAAATAAGTGAATTGGTCGAAAAAGGTTGGACCGGAGTAGTTGTCGATGAGGGTGTAGTGCAAGGGACTGTAGTTTGGGTAGCGGCTTTTGATTATTTCGAAAGGGATCAGGATTGTAGCCAATACGGTCACGATCACTGATGCGGTGACGATGAGTTTCTTGCGCAAGGACCAGCCTTGTGGGTTATACCACGGAGTGTGGGCTGGGGTATCTCTGTCGCCTGGTTGGCTGGCGGTTGCGATTGGGGATTTGGTTTCGAGAGTAGTTCTCGGGGTCCCGCTGTATCGATTTAGAAAGGGTAGTTGTCGGTTTTCCATGGTGATTGATAGAGATGAGAGAAAAGATCTTCCGGTCATTTATGTTTGGGGATGAGTGCTGTGTTATACGGAAGTCCAAAGTGTTGAAAGCCATCTGAGTTTGTCGTCATACATACTCCCTGCTTTAAAATGGAAAAGCACCGATCCTTCCTGATCACCTCACTATTACCAACCGCGTCGATTTGATCGTCTTACGCCAACTATCAAATAGAGTACCAGAGTTAGTTCCTTACCAATCTCTGCGCTCTGTTTAGGACACGATGACCTAGAGCTGTTATAGTAGTCAAAATGCCATCTCTACAGTTAGGTAAGGAAGGCAGGACAAGAGCCATTGAAAACGTATTTTGGTCAAAATGATATGAGAGCAATCTCATATTTCCATAATTATGTGGACGATGTAATTAAGATTGAACCACCAGGGCACGTATGTAGCACGTCAAGCCTCTATAGTTACAAAAATCTCATAGGTCCCGCCCATTTTCTATCGATTAGATCGGACAGTTGAAGAACGATGTACCAGAGAGTCTGCATTCGGAGAAGGTTGGGTCTGCCAGTCGTGCGTTTCCATACCCGAAGATAGACCGGCATCGTTCCTTGCCTGAGATAAGGTACGCGATTGCGATTGGGCGAAAGACCCGCCACCACTGAGGTTAGATGCGCGACGGCGCATGCGACGCTCTCCCTCTTCGGCCTCATGTCGATTGAGGGCGTCGGAGGGGAGAAGGACAGCGCGATCAAGCGCGTAAGGCAGGCCACGGTGGCGACCACGGACTTGCATGGCAATGATCACCAACTTGGAGACTACATTGAACTGCGCCGAGAAGGAGGTGTTGACATTGGGGTATCCAAACGACAGACCTACAGTACCGTATGCCGAAACAACTTCAAACAGAACAGTGAACAGCTGGAAGGAGTGATCGCTCTGGTTCTGCAACTTTGATCCTTCCGCAATGGCGATGATAAACATACCCAAAAAGACATACCACAAATCGAAACTCAGTTGGCGTCGCAAGTGAGCTCCGATGTAGGTGGGGGCGTTGGAATCTTCGTCGTGATCCTCATCTGTGGCATCATAAATTCCCAAGCTCTTCTCTTCGTAGACATTGGTTCGACGCATGGAGATAGCAATAGGAAAGACGGAGATATACATCATGACCAAATAGGAAACCTGGATGGCGGGGTGAAGTTCGGAAAGACTGATGATTCCAAAACCGGCTGTTCGTGTGGCAGCGGCTTGGAAGAAGCCGTCCACGACTCGTATACCGGGCGGCAGTGCAGTGACAGCAGAATCGTTGAGCTACAACATCATGGTCAGCGAAAGTTACGTGAAAGGAAAGAGATCCCAAACTTACATCCAAGATGACAAAGAAGATCATATCTATGCCGTTCAATGCGATGAGAATCGCAAACAGCCACCAAGTGGCATTACGAGGGAACAATAGGGTGAAGCATCGACGGGGATGATCCAGAAGAAACTTCAACTCTTCCCATAGCGCGGTGCCCTGGCGAGTGAATTTCGAAAGAGCCCAGATCATCAAACGAAGCATGCAGGGGAAGGCGGTATTGCCAATGATAATTAAAAACGCTAGCATCAGCAACGGGAAAACGGCCCTCTGGAAGGAGTACATCGAGTCTGGTGTCAAGGTGAAACCCAAATCGTTGAAGGCAGACGCGGCGGTAAAGATTCCCCACCACGGCCGCCCTACTCCATCCGCCCGGACAATATCCCCCCATTTGTCCTCTGTCATGATCCAACCGACCATGCTAATCATGCCGATGAGATGAAACCCGACGTAGTAGGTGATGAGAACGACGGCTAACGTCTTGAGTGCACGGTATTCAATACCGCCCAACTCATCACGCTGCTCCTCAGTCAAATCGACGAAGTTGGAGTTCCGAGCCACTGTAGCATTCCAACTGAGATACGGCTGAGTGTTGAGGTCACGCTCTTGAGTCAGAGATCGGAACACCCCCCTGAAGGTGTTCCTCGTGTTCGTAGCGGCAAGAGTGGTAGTTTCATTCCCATCTTTAGTCTCCCGGAAAGTGGGACGAGTTTCCAGACGAGGGAACGTATTCCCGCGTGCACGGTTTCGTGAAATATCTGGTTCGTTAATGGTGATGTGTGGTCCTTCAAGTGGGCCAAGCTGATCGAGCTCCTCGGGGTGTGCACCGGGGCTTTGTTGGTCGTCCTGGTCGTAATGGTCACTGGAGTGCTGAGCCTGCTCACCCTCCTGTTCCACATCTTCCACGTCTTCCACGTCTTCTTCCAAAGCCTCAGGTGCACCACCACGATCATACTCCCGGGGACTCGGAATGCGCAGAGCTCCTTTGTCCTTCCGCTGCTTCTCCAAGAAGGCGATGTGGTGTTCAGGGTTCAAATGGGTTGGCACCTTCAAGCTACCGAGGCCAAAACGAGGTTCGATGCTCGTGTCTGTTCCCTCGGTGCTGGAGTCGACACTGCTCTCTCGGGCTTCCGGTGTGTGGATGCCGGAATTAATGTTCTTGTTACCCGGATCTGTCAACCGACCGTCTCGGGCATCCCCTGAATCATCCCGTAATACCACAATGGGTCGACCGCTGACTCCATGCTCCGCACGGTTGATATTGATATTATCGCTGTCCCCATCATCGGTCACCGTTTCCATGCGGGATCGGGTCCGTCGCATCGCACGAGCGTCTCGGACCACATGTTGGAAGCGCTTCTCGAACCAATATAATCGAATGAATACCAGGGCGCTGTGGATGAAGATCGGCGTGCACAGAGACGTCATCAGATATAGAACAATTTGCTGATATAGCCAGAGGCGATTGATGTCGACGGAGTTCAACCCACTCTGGGTGGCGGCGCCGGCGGATTGGAAAAGGGCATCGATGTAGCTGATGTTGCCACCGGGATAAAGAATGATGGAGCCAATGATAGCCCAGGCCATGATATAGGCATAGTGGAGGAAAATGAAATTAAGGTGCAGTTCGTTTAAAAACGGGACCTTTTCTTTATAGGTTGTCACCCGGCGAAGCAATGCCGAGAACATGTTGAACGGAGTGCGGCCAGATAACCGTCGTTGCCGAGCGGAGACCACGGGCACAGGCCGCGGAGGGGAGGATGTCGAGATAGGTTGCTCTCGAAAAGAAGGGAATTTTTCCAACCTATTGTCTTATTAGCTTTTTCCATCTCGACTTTCTTTTCGCGCGGCATACATGTGGTCCCGTCGATCGCTACCGAGCGGAGTGCTTGGACTCGTGCAGGAAGAGACCACGGGGGCGCCACTCTTAGCCGCGTGGCATTGAGCCACAATTGTGCGTAGAGATGATCGAGAGCATAACGGAGGGAAGAAAAGAAGAGAGGAATGGGGACAAAGGTAGAAAATCTGAGACTCGAACAAAGAAAAAACCTGGTAATAGCTGCGATTGGAAAATCACGCATGCGGGAATATTACATTACGGTATTGTATTGTCAACTGCCACATTAAACGTGGTCTGCCGATCCTTTGTGTTCTGTTTCATCGGGGTTTGTGGCGAAGCAAAAGTGTAATTCTTTTAGGGCTTTGGTATTGTAAATTACACTGGGGTGAGTTTTGTTGAGGTGAAAAATAGAAAACGAAACAAGATGTCAAAACATAGATGCACTAGAAGAAAACGACGAAACCGAGAGATTTTATAAAAGTAAATAAAACAAAGAGCTGCAGTGGATTCGTCCCTTGGAACTCCATTTCCGATAAGGTTTTACTTGGAAAAAAAAGGATTCACTACTCGGCCTTGCCGCATGTACGATCAAGGTAACATCCCTGAATTGCATTTGCATCTTCGTAGGGCACATTGGCATGTGTATATCACTTTATGTTGGCAACTTCTACATCCCAAACCCTGCAACTAGCCCATCTCAAGATTATGCAGTTGCCTAATGCCTACTTAGGGATGTTCCACTCCGTACTCCGTAGATTGGCCCACTTTTCATTCCAGCCATGTCGTGGCCCGTTCCTAGCAGAATTACCCCTGTGGTGTTAGGGCTGCCGAAATATCACCATCTACTGCTTATTATTGGCCCGTTGCGACCTGCATTCTCCATCTTCGATAGGACAGACGCCCAATCCTTGGCAGTGGAAGGATATTGCATTTTCTTCAACTATCTTTTCGACATGTCTCACGCCTTCTTACATTCTTGCTGAAAGCTGTCGACGGGAGTTTGAACATATCCGAGAGATGCGAGGGGCACATCTGCACCCTTAGAAGAGGAGAAACTAGGCGGCACGGGCGGCCCGACATTCTTGACTTTAAAGGGATGATCTTTTCTAGATGCTAATAGTATGCCCGGAGTATCTATGCCATTCCTTACTCCCAAGTGAAAGATGTTACGATTCGCTGCCAATGTAGCAGCATAAGATTCTTTTTCACAATGATTGGAACTTCTCAATTTCCTAGAGCCACCTTTTTTTGGCCGGCTATTTTGGAATGGTGCGAAGATCTGGTGAATAGATAGTGTGCAAGATCTAGTCGAACTTCAGATTCACCTTCGGATGGTTTACCTTGGAGCTATCGTTGTTTGGCCCGTTTGGTCCATCTCAGCATTACTCGATGCAACCTCAGTTGGTTCTGTAAGTTGTCCATAATTACAGGTGTCTGGTTCCAAGATATCTGGCAATTACAGTGTCTAACAGTCACTACCAAGGTCGCATGTGCTACGACTATCTAGGTCTATGTACAAATTTTCTCTATTCACCGATCTTGCCTCGTTCCACACACTTTGTTATTTCTAGATAGCCTGATGTTTTTTTTTACGAGAAATCTTCAACCTATCGATAGTGCTGATTTCCAAGCCTTCTGGGAACTGATCCCTTCGATACATGTATACTCTTTGATTGGTAGCAATGTCGTAGGAGCGGCTGCACAGTGCAGGCGGGGCAAGGGAGCCTGGCCTCCAATAGTTTCCAACGCTCGGCAGAGATAAGCTCTGAAAACAAGCTTTGAGGTAAAAATGGGCTTTGACATGGGCTACCCAATATTATTCCCATGTAGCTAGCCATCTGGCCGAGGTGCTCCATCTTTGTTAAACGGAGGACCGATGTCAGTGTCTAGGACCATTACCCAATGCCCTAATGTCTCGAATTGTAACTGAAAATGCAGCTTTAAGTCTAAGCCAAGCCCACTCAGCCACAGACTGCACCATCCAATAACCTTCCTTGCGGCCTTCAGGCGCACAACCCTAATCTAACCATATCTAGTTAGGCTTACAGTAAAGTCTAAAGCCTAATTCACCTGGATGAAGCTGTTTTTGAGCCCCTTTCCCAAGTAGTCCTCCATTCATACCGGTTGACGCTTCAGGCTTAAACTTACCGATAGTGACCTTGAGACAAACTATCCCAACACTAACCGGATTGTCAACGCAAGAAAATGTCCCAACAAATTCAGAAGAATGTTCTTCCGACCGTAATGTACATGGTTTTTTTTTCGTAGTCCTCTTCGGTCTCCATAACGTATTTACAACTGTCAAAGTTCGTAATGAATAAAGCTTACGCTCCAGAGATTGAAAAACTTTGATCGAGACAGCAAGCCTGCCTTTTGATTCATGATGCAGCACCATGTAACGCCCTACCCTGAGGGTCTCTTCCAAGATTATATCACGACAAAGAGTCATTGAACATCATGCCGTTGATCTGATATCGCTACAACACTTACATGAATGTACAAAAATAAGGGGCACCCAGTTGATGGGGGTTGCTGTAACCAATTTAAAGGTGGCTAACCTGGCCCAGCATTAGCAAGACCCCCATCAATTGGAACCCCACAAGGCACCTAGGTAATGTAGGGAAGCCAGCTGCGCACCCCAAAACACAACCAAACCGAAGTTTTCCTCATTTACATCTCATCAATGAACGTTTCTGTCGATTAGCTGTTGATTAGCCTTTGTAGTAGTTTATCGTACATCATGCTTTTAATTTTCTTGCCTTTTTTTTTTGACAATCGACTTGGATTTTAAAATCGAAGGTTAGATTTTTTTTTAAAAAAAAACGTGGACTTAGAACCGAGGTCTGAAAAAGCCACGGTTACAGGGCTTTGTATGGTGACTGGTAAAAAAACGCTTGTTCAAACCATTGAAGGAACCGTCTTCCTCCCCTTACTGCAACAACATGCATTTCTGTCACCATCACCTTGTCTACTCCGTACTTGAGATGGAGAGAGAAAATGCGGTGAGATGTGGGCCACTTTGATTGGCGTCCTTTGTGTCTCCAGGCAAACAAAACTACGGTTGGAATTAGGATTTGCCACTTAGTCCGGCCGCTGCCGAAGAAATCAACCCCCACGATTAGGAGCTGTCCTCCCCCCAACCATCGTTTGATTGGTGCTGCTATTGCTACCACATTAATGACACAAAACAAACCCTTGTATCTCCCTGCAGATAGATTCAAAGGTTAAAACCGAGAGAAGGCCGACTGACATTATGGAGCCTCGCCGCACAAAGTTGGTAAGCGTAATCCAGCTCTAGCTCAATGTCTCCACTGAGAGTGAAGTGAGTTCACGCAATTTTGCTGACAGACCATCAGGCCTGTACCACTTGCAGGCGGAAGAAGACTAAATGCGATGGAAGAAAGCCAAAGTGCTCGCCCTGCGACACGTTCAACCTGCCCTGTACCTTCCCGGGCACCGTTAGACACCCTCGCCCTCCCAATGAGTACTATCTTCACTGTGTAATTGAATTGTCATTCTCGGATTTTTAACGGAAATTATGGATAGGCATGTCTATCGAGAGCTGGAGGAACGCATAGGATTAATGGAGAGAAACCTACAAGTGCGTGGTGTCTCAGATAAGTTGAACCAAGAGTTCCTAGCCGACCCTATGGATGATCCCAGTTTCAACTCAAGGGCACCTAGTTCTTGCAATCGCCCGGATGACGAAGGATCATGGGATTCGATCTCTCGTGTTCCTCCTACTATGCCAACTACCGAAGAGAGCCCCAGTGATGACCAAACGTCGTATGTTCTTACTGCACAAAATGGACGAATGCAATTCTTCGGTGAGTCTACATGCAGCTAGTTGTTCCCCTTGCTCTAAATGAAATTCTGCATTTTTTAACTTGGAATTGTCAAAGACGATCTTTTTACCTTCATGTCATGCGGGATGGAAACTGACCATAAAAATGACCATCCATCTTAGGTACTTCCTCTGGACTTTCTCTCGTCTCCCCCCTGGGTGCTTGGTGGGTGGAAAATCAGACAGGGTCTGAACGATGTCGAAACGCTGGAATGAATGGCGTGCAGCAATGGCAATTACACAACTGGATCCCTAATATACTTCAAGATGGGTTTGAAAAACGTACCTCGCAGCCTCTTCCCCCAAAGGAGATTGCGAGGCAATTGATGAGTGAATATTTCAATAGCTATAACAAAGCATTGCCTCTCTTCACGGAGTCGCGGCTCGACAAGCTACTCCAAAGACAATATTCATGGAATCCTGAATCAAGTTCCTCTTGGTGGGCAGCTTTCAATGTCATTCTGGGCCTGTCTTACAAGGCGAGAGCACAGAAGGCAATTGATGGAAGCGAAGATTGGAAAAAGTCATTCGGGCACATCAGAAATGCTTTGAATGTTGTGGTGGAGCTCCTTATGAGGGCTGCAGATATTCTCGCTGTCCAGGGACTACTCGGGTTGGCCATGTTCTTTCATGAAACCCCAGACCCTCAACCACTTTTTACATTTGCGGCAGCAGCAATGCGGCTTGCCCAGTCCATCGGGCTGCACAGATCTCATACATATGGCCTAGATCACGCCGAAATCGAGGAAAGAAACAGAACATTTTGGATTGCTTTTATCGTTGATGCCGATATTTGTCACAAGACCGGTCGGCCAGCAGCCCAAGATACCAATGACTTCAACACCGTGCTGCCAACGGAGCTTCCGCATGATGGGCTGGGTCTCGTTCAACTCGACGGTATTGAAGTAAATTACCTGCGAGCTTACGCCCGATTCTCTCTATTACAGCGAGATATTTATTGTCGGCTGTACACTACAACTGCGACTCAAAAATCGGGGCAAGATTTGATCAAGGAGGTGAAGGACTGCGAAGCTGCACTTCTTGATTGGAAGAAATGCATCCCCATTGAGCTTCAACCACAACCCAAATTTTCTGCCGGGCAAAATTTCTTCTATCAGTGCATCTTAAGGTTGCACTTTGCGTACCACTGCTGTTACGCCCAACTGCATCAAATCTGCCTGCATGCCAAGCGACTAATTGAGGTGGAGATGATTGGAAATGCCAGTCCGAACTCGATTCCAGAAATGGAGCACTGTATTTCCGGATCACTTACAGCTGCGAGGTCTGCGGTAGACCTGTTGGAACATGTTGAAAAGTTTGGTTTATCGTTTACATGGTATGCCCAATTCTGTGTTTTATTCTGGAGGCAATTGAAGCAAATGCTAACCAGCGTGCAAGGAGTGTTGTATACTTCCCTGCTGCTGTGGTCGCAACGCTCTTCGCCCATATCCTCACACACCCACACCAAGATACCACTGCGGATATTTATTTGATTCACCAGGTCGTCCAGTTTCTGAAAAATATCACGGCTCAAGAACAGGGCACATATGTTGATTACCTTGTTTCTCTATGCTCGGATTTTGAAGGTGCAGCCAGACAGGTTTCACGTAAGGCACCCACTGGCCATAACCGTCCGCCTTTGGAACAAGAGAAGGCCGGTGTTTCTCTCCTCAACAACGACTTGTCGAGAGATTTAACGAGCCCTCATCAAGCATTCGCCGGAGTATCAGGATCCAGCGACCCTCAAATGGCCTTCGAAACCTCCGAAAACTATTGCATGTCAAACCCCCAAAGTGATGTAACGGAAAGCTTGCAATTTTCTATTCCCCCCATGTGGAATTGGCAAGAAATGATGATATTGATGTCTCCAGGGACTGGTTCAGAGGTGATGCAAAGCCGCGGACAGACTGGGGATTCTCAATAATTTTGAGAAATAACAAAACGCCATTGTGGTCACAGAGATATCATTTTTCCCTTATCATTCTATTTCTTGTACAAAAAAAGTTCGATCATGGGTTTGTTCTTTCAAATGAACCGTAACACAATACTTCTGCGATAAAACCAACACCGAAGAACGGAGAGAAATTGAGGCTCAGAGAACAGAAGCAGCGGTCCGGACCTAAGACATGTCGATAACAACGCGGCCCTTGAGACCACCGCCATGCATCTTGTGGAAGACACCAGTAAGATCTTCCATGTTCGCGACAGTGACATGCGGGTCAATGATCCCGCGAGCTGCAAAGTCCAGGGTTTTGATAGCTTCTTCCCGGGTTCCAACTGCAGAGCCTTTGATCTTCAGCTGTTTAAAGATAATCACGGCGGGATTTGCCGAAGCAATAGCCTGCATTTGGCCTTCAGGGACTCCAACACAAACAAGAGCACCATTCGGGCGGAGCATCAACAGCTCAGTTTCATATGCCTTGTTATCGGCGGGGCAGACGATAGCAGCGTGAGCTCCAAGGCCACCCGACAACTCCAATACATGATTCACAAGCGACTCGTTATCGGAAAATTCGTCCATGTCCACAAAATGCTCCGCACCCGACTTCATAACCAAGTCTTTCTTGGACACACGGTCAATAGCAATGATTCGGAACCCCAATCCTCGACTGCCGAGCTGGACGGCAACATGGCCCAATCCTCCCCCAGCACCAGAAACTATGACGAAATCCCCTGGCTTTGCCTCACTGCGTTTCAAGGCCGAGTAGATGGTGAGACCCGCACAAAGCATTGGCGCAGCATTCGCAGACTCGAGGCCATCTGGAATAGGGGTCACATAGTTGGCAGGTCCTAGAACGAATTCTTGGAAAGTGCCTGGAGTACGGAACCCAGAAATTGTAGACTTGGGACACGTGGTTTCCATGCCCGAGTAACACATCACTTTGGATCGATATTAGTGATGCATGTCAAGTACAGTGGATTTTCATGGTGACTTACCGCAGCTCCCGCAAGTCGAAGCAAGCCATTTGACTCCAACACGGTCCCCTACATTGAGACCGGATTTTTCACATCCTGGTCCCAACTTTGCGACCTTACCAACGCCCTCGTGTCCACCAACTTGTCCTGTCTCGGTATCAGGGAGATAGCTCCACTGAAAATGAACCGGTCAGTTATCTTTTTTTTTTCCAGGCTGACAATGATTCCACATACTGAGTTGGTCATGATACCATAGTCGGAATGGCAGACACCTGAATGCGTGCTTTTAAAAGTGTCAGAGGCTATCCATAAACACTCGGGTCTTAAAAAGTAGAAAAGGAGACAATTACAGCCTGATGAGGACTTCTCCAACTCCCGGCTCTGGAGTATCAACCATTACAACTTTCGTCGAAACCGTTCCGGGCTGGTCATAAATGATAGCTCGGTGTTGCTTGGGAATGATGATGGTATCCGACATTGTCTCAATCATAGCTTGCCGTATTGCAAGTAGAGATCAGCTAGTAACTAACTCAGAATAACATCGTGATCGGCATGCAATGAACAATTTTATACTTCAAGGAGCTTTGCTTGATCCGACCTAGCGTGCTGCACCTAATCTTAATCATCCGGCATCATGTGACTGCGCACTTTGTCAACCCGAAGGCTCTGTCCCACGGCATCGGGTTTCTAGCCGGCCCGCGGCCCGTGGAAGCGGGCACAAGGTACTCCGGGGACGGAGTACCTTACAGTCAGTGGAGACATGTTTCTACGTCCGCTAGAGCCCCACTCAGCTCACCGCCACTTTGAGATCTATACCGCCTACGTAAAGCGGGAGACATGCGTCATGCAATTTGTATTCATGGGGGGTTTTGGTCGGCAGTATATTATGTAATAACTGGGTTGTGGGGTCAGGTGTAGAAACTTGTGTCCAGTCTCTGTACGGAGTTAAGCAAAGTCGGGCTCTAACAAATTGATTGAAACACGGTGAAATCTTTGTCTAATTTGGGTGGTCGATACATGGTGTAGTACTTCTAGTTTACACACAAATTGAAACTTCGAAAGTTCCTAATATCACTACCCTAGGGCCACTTTCTAGGAGGTTACGATTGTTCGGCAAGGCATTTAAATTGGTAAAAAAAGGTGGTTGAAGATTACGTGGCAAACCCTCAGTTTGAATAAAATTAAGAAATTTAAGTTACAACTACGGAGCACAGCGTATTAATTGAAGTACCAGAATTGATTTGTTGAAACGAGGATTCGTTAAAACCGGCACCCGGTAGTTATTCTGGGGGCCAGGACATGACACCATGATGAGGACTCGAATATAGACGGACTTAGGGCAAGCTCCGTGACTATAAATTACGGGACCAATCCTTCTGGCAGAAGAAATTTTCATTTTATACCAATCATTAAATATCTTTACAATATGTCCACAAGGTATACATACCACCGTCATTATTCTTAATCGTACTTGATCCCCGTACTTACCTTTGTATTCTAGCACCCCACAGGATCAGTTTGCTGCCCTAGTTGCAAAAAACAGCAAGTTGAATGAAACCGACATCGAGGCTGTTTATAACAAGCTTTCAGCTCTTCCCGTCGATTTCCTCCGTGGAGAATGGAAGGGTGGAAGCTTCGACACCGGCCACCCAGGCCACACCCAGCTTTTGGCTATGAACTGGGTTGGAAAGACGTTCCACGATACCGAGCGCGTCGACCCTATTGTTGTGTTAAAGGATGGAAAGCGTGTATGCGATGAGAACTGGGGCCATGCTATCGTAAGTAAATCCACTTGATTTCAAGAATGATGCAAATTTTGACATCGTGCAGGTCCGTGAGGTTCGTTTCCGTGGTATTGTGTCAACCGCTATGATCTATGACAAGCACCCTATCATTGATCACTTCCGCTATGTTAATGAGAACCTCGTTGCTGGCGCCATGGACACTAGCTCCTTCGGTGACGTTGGTACCTACTACTTCTACCTATACAAATAGGTCTGAATGAGTCGTAAATCTTGGCACCGGCATCTGGAATCGACTCATGTCAACCCAGGCTTATGGACTGGCCTGAATTACCACCGAGAAAGCCACAATGTCAACATATGCCAAATTGTCCCTCTTTCTATGAGATTCCACTTCATTTCCATGTTGCAAGAGACACCGTCTAGTTTATCAATCTGTCATGCTCCATTCTTTTCCTCCCTGACTCAAAGTAGCCAATTCCCCCTTTGGGCTGCCTATATCAAATCAACACTTCTCATTGTTTTCCAAGTGCACCCGCCCCACACTCGCCTATTATTTAAAAGAGGTACCCCGTAGATCAAACGCGTTGCCATTCCGGCTTTTGGTTCATCCATGAATATAATGGACCCTTTTTCTGTATTATTCGATGGGCGTTGCGATGAGATTGACGGCCAGGTTCAGACTCTGCTGGGCACATACACCTCAAATCGACTAGCTTTAACATGTTACAGTTTTCAACACGACAATGTTAGTTCCTCGGCATATCTCTGCACATCATATTTCCGGAAGTATAGCGTGCTTTTCCCACTTTGGACCATCCATCGACCGGATGATGCTCCACACTATTCGTGCTGGAATGGGGAAGCGCCCAGGGTCTTTTATGCCGCACAATTTTGGCACCACAGCGCAAGTTGAACTTTTTATCGAACAAGAGATGGGGCCAGTCCGGAGAAGATTTGGATTAGAGAAGATTGCACATGTCATTTTAAGCTTTCGACCCCTTTTTACCATACGGCCCTCACAGATGTGCTTAGAAGTGGGCATAAATCTGCTACACAAAAATGAAATCAAAGATTCTTACATTTTCGAGTACTGGATTCGAGATCGAGATCCAAGCAAGGAAACTGGGGTCTTGATACACAACTCGGGGGTTCCCGTGTTACGGAGGGCTGCTCTCCGGGCACTTTGTATGTCGCCACACTCAGCGACGGATCCAGCTTGACTTTAAGGCATCAAACTCGGACTATGAGCTTACTAAATATATATGTATAGATAGTGAAAGTGGACTTGGTGTTCTTCGGGGAGAGTTTATAGGGCAGACACTAATAAGGTGTGATGGAAGGGGGAAACTCGATCTTTTTTTTTAAAAAAAAAATTAAGAGGTATGAACTTGAGCTTGCACGTAATCTTGAGTTTTCTC